GATCACAAATGGGATAGAGAAACACCTATAAATTTTTGAAAATATGATCAAATACATCAGAGAAACAGAACTTAAAACCACAATGTTCTCATCAGATTGTTAAAATGAGAAAGACTGAGAATTCAAAGGTCAGGAAGGAATTGGAACAAGCAGACCTTTCACACATAGCTGCTACGAGTAGAAACTGGCACAACTAATTTAGAGAATTAATTTGCTAAGCAAATGCACAAGTGTGTTCAACCAAACTCACGTACAAAATAGTAACAGTATTGTTTTTCATAATAACTGGAGCTGGATATAAGCCAAAAGTCTGTCAACAGCAGAAGAGGGAAATAAATTGTTGTATAATCAAATATTAGAGTATTGCATGACAATGAGAAAGAACGAACTGCAAAATGAAAACATAATGGATTTCTTAAACATAATGCTAAGCAAATGCAGGCAGATATTAAACAGTTACACATTAGTTAATTCTATTTACACAAAGTTCAGAATAAGCAAAGCTACCTAAGGTGAAAAAAGTCAGGACAGAGATGACTTTAGGGGAGGGTGTGATGGTCAGGAGGGGAACATGGGCATCTCTGGGTGTCGTTAATGTCCTGTTTCTTCACCTGAAATCTGTTCATTCTGTTAAAGTCTATCGGACTATTTATTTGCATACATTCTTGTATAGGTAGGGTATGTAAATAAAACTAAAATGAAAAGAAGCACAGGCAACCCACATTGCTTTCCATGTTCATGCTGTGGTGAGAAGCAGATCCTGCTGATGTTGCTGCTGTCCGTATGGTCTCTAAACTGAGAGCATTTGAGGAAATCTGGCCAGGAAGAGTTCACCATCCCCAGGACAGATTCACACCCTTCTTTTGCAGCCTCACAGAAAGATCTACAGGGCAGGAGGCCATGCCTAGAAGGAAAGAAGAAAGGTGAAAATTAATGCCTTTATAAAGCAGTCCTCAAGATAATAGTAATGATATTAAACTTAGCCATCTGTACTAGCATCTCAATTTATATTTCCTATGTATCATCAACAACTTACACTTCGGTATTCAGTCCTCTGACAACTTCAGCCACCCTATTATCTGGATTCTAAAGGTGATAAGCTAGTCCTATGATGCACCATATCGTCATCTACTGTAGAGTGTTTCCCAAGTGATTGCCCTTAAATTTCCTGACCTAAAATATACTGGTCAACCAAGGAAGAGCTCTACTTGACACCAAAGAGAAATTAACATGGGAATGGAGGTCCCGAAATTGCAAAGGCAAAAGTTGGTCATAAAATAGATTACTCTCATTTTTTAACTTTCCTTTGAGAAATATAGCATCTCTTAAGAGGAAGCTGTTCCTCAACATCCTGGCTTCACTGGAAATGAAACATCACACAGATAAGTGAGAACTCATAAGATCTTTTTATCTTTTTTTCTTGCCTGACTTCTGTTTATATTCTGTGAAGTAGAAAATGTAAAGACTGTCCATTAATAATAAGATCAACAATGCCCCAGGAGGTATCTTCATTCACCAAATGTGCAATCGAACACTCCTAGATCCCGATTTTGCTCTGGGAAATGCACACTTCCATGCCTCCAATGTCAAGGCCATGGACTGGTTTCCATTCAGAGCCAGATGGCCTTCTCTACCTCATAGCTATAGGCTGCATCTTTTGTCCTTGATGGTCATCTGCCAAAAGTATTTCAAAGGGTTTTAAATGGGGGAAAATGTTCATGAGCCTCATCAAAGCACGTATTTGGCACCATAGAACCATACCACATTAGGTCTGTAATAAAACTTAAATAGAACTTTATCTGAATCTTTTCTTTGAAAGCACAGGCCCATGAAGATTCTGGGACAGACTCAAAAGTTGCACAACTCTTACAGCTAACTTCATAATGGCAGAGGTAGAAACAGAATGCAGGTATCTGAGCTTCCCAGCCATTGTCTATCTACCTTGCAATACTGTCACTTCTAGTATAATAATAATTGGGCTTTATAAATTACTTAATCAAATAAAACTCATGCCTCATTCCTGATTCTACAGAAAACTAAGTGTAATGGGACATGCCAGCCAGTAAGTCAAATTGGAACTGATAGGGTCTGTAAGAGTCCTAGAGGAGAGATCTTATTTTACACAAGAATGTGGAAAAGTGCTCAGCAGTCCTGTTTATTGGAATGATGGGGTCATACCCAAGGCATCACCCATGCTACGGATTCTAGATTCCCTACCGTCAGCCTTTATTTTGAGACAAGGGCTCACTAAGTTTCCCTGGCTGGCCTTGGACTCACTCTAGAAGCAAACCACACCTTGAACTTGTAATCAGCCTGCCTTAGCCTGCCTCAGCCTGCCTCAGCCTGCCTCAGCCTGGCAAGCTGCTGGGATTGCATGGCTGAACCACCAGGCCTGGCTCAACAACAACCTAATAAAAAAAGTTTTTAATGTTTAGAAAGCTGAGTTTCTTTTAAAATCATGTCTCATTATCTATATAAGTTAACATGTAACTAAATTTGATAGTGAATATGTTGAAGGAGAAGTGTTACATTTGAACAAGTTACCTTGAGGATATAAAATATGAATTAGTCCAGGGTCATGTCTTATTATATAAAAAAAGATACCTGATAGCCATGCAGGAAATGTGTTGATATTTGTAGAACTAAGAAAGCATCACTTTAATGTCTTAAACAATTTCCTGCCTTAAAATTTATTCCGGAGAAGTAAGACTATATTTTCTCAAATAGTATTAGGATAAATGATTAAGGAATGTAGAAAACATACATTACTAGGCAATTGTGCAGCCCACACTAGTCAGCATTCTAAGTGTAAGTGACTCTTTTCTCATGATAGCCCCCATGTGACAGGTACACTCCTGTTATCCCTAATACCTATATTTGTGTAAAAGGATGTGAAGCAGGGGGAAAATAAGGGGATTATCCAGATTCGTTCTCATAATGATGGAAGATTCATGATGAAACCTCGGGCAGAATGAGCTAAGAGCACATTTAGTTCCCTGCTGACTACAGGTAAGTCCTACTCAGAAATGATACTTCACAATGACACTTCACTGAGGTTAGGATGCAGTTTCCCATTATACAACCTTAAGGTAGGGAGATCGCAAGCATCCTTGATTATACAAAGGCCAAGTAAACAGTCAGGGAATCACAGCATCTGTGAAAGGGTCTAAAGAGCACAAGGGAATGGTAAAGACACTTCTTTCATTTCTAGGAATGAGACAGCACACAGTAAAGTTATAAAACAAGCCAGATTTGGGCAGCATGCTTCTGGTCTCATGCCTGACGAGAGTGTCCCTGTGTCATGATCAGGTCACCTCACGGTTCCAGCACTGTACCACACAAGCAGCCACCTTTTCACCAGGATACAGAAAAATATCTTCTCTGCCTACCATCAAAACTGCAGTTCAGGTTGTACCTGATCTCAAGTGGGTTTTCATGTCATACAAAAAGAGGGCAAAGAACAAAGTCATACACAATAACAGATGGACCTAGCCTTCCTCGAGATTTCGGCATCATAAAGGAAGACTGCTTGCTGGAGAAAGGGACCTCTAATTGATGAAATTTCAGGTATGATTTAGAGGTGGAAAAATTCATCTAATATATGTACTTTTTCAGTGGAGATGAGAATTATAAAGCTGACCACCACTTGAGGGGAGAGTGCGGTAACTCTTCCAAGTGTTCTAAAACCCCTTTTCAGTTCTGAGGCCAGGTATTCTTTATCATTATATATCTTTTCTCAGACACTTCCAGGGCAAGAGTGATGATGAAGTTTCACACAGGGACCTAGCAAACTATTTTCATATCCAAAAGTTAAGTTCTTAACTCAGACATATTGTCATGGACCCTTACTACCCTACTACGGTCCTTTTTCTAAGTCTACCATCCTAGACTCTCCCATGGCTACTCTGCCACCATTTGATCTCAAACCAACAGTTCATTTATGCCAAGAGTCAATTTCTCCATTTTAAATATGAAGGATTTAGAAGAACTGGACTTTGGACCATATTCCATGATTCTTTCATTAGGAACATTTTGTAAATCAAAATTCATTCTTTCAGGCAGTTTTCTCAGAGGAGCACTGAACCCATGAAAACCCCACAAGCCCTGCTAAATAGCAAAAATATTCTGTTCCAAAGGCCAAAAGTGTTGAAAGTATTTGGGATCTTGTATCTAATCCTTAAAAGATTCTAGGGTTACCTCTTCAGAGAGGGGAATGTTAGAGTAGCCAAAAGCCCCATAAAAATAAATCGATCAATCAAAGAAGAAGAAAGAATACATGAAGTTATCAGAAAAAAGTGGGAAGATATAGGAGGAGTTAGAGGAGAGGGAGTGGGCATGGATTTGATCAAAACACCTTATATGCATGCATGAAATTCTCAATAAACTATTTATTTAAAAAGAAGACTTTTTCCTAAAGACTTGTGCTTTGAATATATGGGTATATTAAAATAACACTAGATCCTCTATTTTAAAATAGGACCTAAGAAAAATGTCTTCAGTGTTCCCAAAGAGGTGTAAGCAACTGAGACCCATGAGTCTCAAATTGCTGTCCTAGGTCATGTGAACTGAGGGTACAGTATTAATAGCTAGGTGCCCTTGCAAACAGTGAGCAAACGAGGAGCCATTTGTTCTTGCTTTGAATGAAACTCAACTGCCTATGAAGGGTGGGTGCATTTTGCTTTTCATCACATGGGACAGGGTGGTGAGACAGGCCACACTATTTTGGAATGGAGTGTCTATATCCAAGCAACAAGTGCATTGGCAACTGAAAACAGTGCTCAGCACAAGGGAGGGTCCACTTGGGGCTGTCAGAATTACTATTTTAGAAATGGTGATCATTTCAAACTGATGTGCGAAGTAAATTTGATGCTGTGCAAAGAAGTTCCTGACACATTTCAACTAAAGTTGAGGCAGGGAGTTCTGATAGACACTCTGCAATTATTTGTTGAAGCATTTGATAAATATCCAAACAGCGCTACTTTACAGTAGTAGTAAGGGCTTTGAAGAATTTTTTTACTAGTAAGGATGTTTTAAAATGATTAATCTACCAAAAATATTTACTTATAACTTTTCTAGAGAATTTATTTCTAGGAAACTTTTTTAGAATACATCTATAAATATGCAGGTTTTATCTAGAAAAGAGTTCTTATAAAGGCATAAATGTAAGTTTATTGAATGAGGTACAGACATAAAGTAAATTTAAGTTGTCAGTGGGCTTTTAAGATTGATAAATCACATTTTTTCTGCCAAAAGTCAAAAAAGAGATGGGGTAAAAAATGCAGTCATACATAATAACAAATGGATTCAACCTTCCTGGAGATTTTTACACTAAGACTAAGGATTCTTCCTTTAGACACCTTACTGGGGTAAGGAACCTCTAATTGTACAGATAAGTTATGAAAATAGTACCAAAGTTTTTACATATATCCTTCACTCAGGCTCCCCAAACTCACAATGTCATATAATTATATTTATTAGAACTAGGAAGTTAATATTAGTGCAATACCTTTGAGCCAAGGGTCCTGTTCAAATATTGCCCAGATATCCAATTGGAATTCTGTATCACATTTAGCTGTCAAATTTTACTTTTGCTAAAGAAATTATCCTTAAAATATATTGAGAGCTTAGGATTTAAGACTCTTTTTCCAGTGAGAGAGACATCACTTTGTCAAAGGCACATTGCTGTACTTGATGTGCTATCCATGGACAAAATTTATACAATCACTTCTAATATATTCCTAGTTTCTCTTTTTCAGACTGAGCTCCCCACTGACCAATGCTCACAAATTCAGAATCAGGCTGCTCCCAGAGCTGTGACCCTCCCCCAACCACTAAGACAGTGTCCATGTCTGAGGACTCTTATAAGATAATCTGCCACTGTTTCCTCCTTTTCTGTTGCAAGAA